ACCATATTTATTTTTGTGAATCTCTTGGGTAGGTTTGCCTGGGTGTTTGCCAAATATATTTGGCCTCCAGTTCCCAGAATTCCCTTCCAGAAGGCTGGTCTGAAGGAGAATGGCAGGGCCAAGGTCACTGGCCCCCCTTCCTGGCTGGGGAGGAATCTGAAACCAAACACCCTTGATGCATTACAGTATACTGCACTTGGTTTTCTTGTCCTTTAATACACAGATCCCACACAAAGACATTTTTTTTTAAAAAAAAAAACAAAGCTGTAAGGAACTCAAGATAAGCCCATATGGCTGGGAACAATATGTTTCAATATATACAAGACTGTCACTGAAAATGGCAACCCTGTTTAAAGTTCTTTCTCTTTTTATGTCTAATCAGCATTATCTTCGCTTTCTCTATCAGTGTACTTCTTTAACTCTGACAACTGCATCCCATGATGAGGAATGGGGGGAGGGGTGGCGGTGGGGGGGGGAATGCCAGACACTTTCAGATTCGGATGTAAAAAAACCCTCTTCTGTAGAATCTGACAAGGAATCGCTATTTTCAGCCTCCCATTCTGTCTTTATTGCGATGTGTAATTCCAACTTAACATGTGTGTGTGCATGTGCGTGCGTGCGTGCTTCAGCAAGCAATTTTTCAAAGTTGGACTGGGCACAAGGACCCCAGATTGCAGGCTCTGGTCTAAGCATTAAGCAAGGTTCTATATTTTCCTAGATGGGTTTATATCTGACTGCTGCGCAGCTGTTAGCTGTGCACTGAACATCTTGTGCCAGAACTTATAGAAAGCATCACAGTAGCCAGCAGAGATATTTAACTCATTATTTTTAAAATTAATTTATTGTACAAAATGAATCAGAACACGTCCCTTTCATGTGCAATATCGGAATCATACTTACAAGGTATTTTAAAGCACAAAGCTTCTCTGAGTACTTTTAATGCCCTGGTAGTATGATAATACCTGAGTATAAACTCATTGATTATTTGACTGATAATCAAGACATGTCAGGGAATGTCAGTACTATTCGGTTTATGGTTGGTTACAACAACAGTCAGAGTTCTTATAACACACCATTTCAATCCAGTCTCATAAATTTGAACAGACATAATTCATCAGACATACATACTTAACTGGATATTGCAAAGCATAGCACAGTATGCTGAAGGGGCACAGTTGTAAGTCATTGCTGAAAGAAGCTTTATCAGCTCTGTTAAATGTTTGCTACTCCTTTTCTGGTAAACTGAACAGTGATTGTTTAGGAAATGAATATAAGCCTAGTTCCCTTTATTATAGGGTAACAGGAATTTACACATATGGAGGAAAAGGGTACCCTGAATCTCTGGGTTACAAAATAAATTGGCATTTATATCATATTAATAAATATTAATTGCTTCTTACAAGGGGTGTGTGTTGGGGAGAGGTGTATGATGTGTTCCTTTGAATGGAACAGCAATGTAACACCTTGATGTACTTTTATTCTGATAAATTGGCAAATGATGCAACTTACAAAGTTGCTTACAGTTACAAAGCAACTTATTGGTTGCTTATTCAATTAGAACTTTAAAATGCAGTCAGAAGATTACAGCCTGCAAATATTTTCCAAAACCTCTAGCCTTTACAATGTTTTTGTTGTTGTTGTTGGAAATAATAATCTAGTAACTGTCACTAGCATGAAATGAAAATTATTTAAAGTCAACTATTACTTCTGCCTCTCATGTTAAAACATGCACCTTGTTACAATTATTATTGTAAAAATACATATCCCTCATTTATGCAGGTGTATTATAGAGGGATGGATTGAACAGGCCTTCAGACCTGCCTAGATTAAGTTTCAATTTCCTAATCCAGAAGAAATTTAGAGATCAATATAGGATAGGATAAGTGTGCACAATTTCATAGGGGCAAAGGGCAATTTTTGGCCTTGGAATGGCACAGCAGGGGTCATATTCCCATAAGTGCAAGACAAAGAAATGGGGAGGGCCAGGATGAAAACAAAATTTGGCTTAAATTCAAAGGAAAATTTCATTGAATTAAACTAATTCATCACCACTTTTATGTATTTAACAATTTTCCTCTTCTGGAACATTGAACATTATAATTCAATGGTTCTAGAAGCTCATCCAAAGGATGCACGTCCCTGAGGGGCCCCTGGCTGTTCACTCTGGTACTGACGTTCTGCAGCTCTCTTGAGATCAGATGGAAATGTTGAGAATAGAAGTCGGCAGCATTCATATATGGAATGTAAGAAGCTCCTGCAACCCAGTTCAGTCCCTGTTCCACCTTATGCAGTACTATCTAATCTAACTGACAAAGACTTCTACCAGTACTTTGCCAGTGTTCTGCTTGAACTTCCTTGAACTGGTGATGCTGAAGATTTAATTTAGGACTTAGGACCTCCTCTGTGTTTGTGTGTGCGTGCTTGTGTGTAGAGTATCTTTCTACCAATAAAATAATGGACAGATTGATGTCACTGTACCCCAGATGTTGTTTTTGGCTTCATTGCATTGACATGGAAGGAATCCTGAAGTTGGGTTCGTGTGTTTGCCTTCCACTCTTCATTAATCTTTGTGACAGAGGAGATTGACTAAGAGAAGTCATGTTTGTGGTTCCTGAGATAAGAAGAAAGAAATGAGAGATACAAACTGTAGAGGCAATATTACACTTTAGGCCAGGATAAGATTCAGGAAGGAAGGGGAGGGGGAGGAAGGATTTAGCTTAGTCATGTTTACTTAAAGTAAATACATTTGAAAAGTTTCTCTGGAAAGGAATAATTGGCATTTGATTGGTTGTTTATTTATGGATTCTATATGCCATTCAGTATTTCCACCACATAAGTGGGATTCGGGAATAGTTTTATCGACATGAAACTTAGATTACAAAATGCCTACAGTGCAATAGTAACTAGAGATGATTGGCATCTGAGTTGGGACTTATTAATCGAGAAGTAGTGGATCTTTTTTCTGTTCACAGCCTGCATTCTTTCAGAAAGAGCTTTACAGTATTGAAATTTCCTGCCAATGACAAGTATGTGGGAAAAAAGCCAAGGGTGGATGGGAACAAAGCTACATACAGTATATGCCCCATTTCCATCCATTCCATTTTGGTTTACTATATCCTCATTCATCTCACCACACTTCCCCCCTCCTTCCCTACATTTACGTATATCCAATACAGCACAAGCTGGGTATATTTTAAATAAGTGGACTTCTGCTCAACCAGTGTGGCTATTGTTAAGAATTCTTTGAATTGGAAGGCCACCTTCCTGAAGAGAGCTGAGGACACTTGCATTTCAGACACATTCTTGTTGCCTCTCATTCAGTCCTACACCTGGCACCTGTTTTCTGCCCAATCAGTCAAATGTTGAACAGCAGCAACTATGGCAGGGCCAGTATATATAATTTCCCAAGAACAGTGACTAGGTGAAACAACCATCCTGCCTGAGTCAGCAACAAACAACCATAGAGTTGGTGAATATCAGGTCTACCTTGATTCAATCAAGGATTACTGCTGCTGAGGCAATGGTGGTCTCTGCTGTTCCACTCCCCCAACAGCTGCTGATGAATGGGGCTCTTCTCATGGTGTAAAGGATTGGACCTGCTGTGTTGACAGCTTCCCACCTTGGATGGAAAAATCATCTAGAACTTGATGGCAGGAGTGCAAATCTCTTGCTGAACTACAACTCTCAACATAATAAATAGCTGGAGCTCCAGGGTGTTGTAGCTCAGGAATAATACCATGGATAAGTAACGCAGACTAAGTGAGAGAGTAGGGGCTCTGTTTAAGTCAGAAGGGGCACAGATTTCAGTAGGAGTTCCCATCTGTATTAAATCCCTAGGATGTAATGAGCTATGATAGAAAGTCCCAATCTGTAATTAAAGGATGTATTTGGGATGTCCTCTGGCTCTTCTCTTAATGTTCTTTTAAAGTGATGAATTGGACATGGGTGATGTGGGGAGGTAGGTTTCCTTCATCACCTGTTTAACCTGCAGGAATGATTGTAGGGCATTTAGAGATTTTTATTGTTAAACAAGATCTGTGTTTGAAAAAAAATATTTTTGCTGCTGGTAAGAGTTTTATTGCCTAACATTAAAGCAGCAAAAGGACACCAACAAAGATGATGAAAACTTAAACATCTACAGTATTTAAAAATCTGAGAATGGGAGCAATAAATAATAAATCTCACTGGGAATTATTTAAAAGGCAATGGAATATGGAATTATTTAAAGTATGCACTGTTGCGGCATCATTTCAGGGTCTTCAGTCACTTAAGAAAAAGTTGATGACTATATTCCAACTTAGGTGTTTCCAGAGGAAGGTTGATGCAGGGAAGATCAAAGGGGCTTACAAACAGTGAAGGAGTAAATAGAAGGAAATTGAAAAATTCATAGGCGGCTGACCTTGTGAGTGGCTTTTATTAGCTGGTCTTGAAAATAGCTCTTATGCTAGATTTAGGGAGATCACCTAAGATACTGCACCTGAGCAAACACTGCTGTTCCCCAAATGAAGCCCATGCCAATGAAGGAATCCAGCACAAGGTCCGTGCAGTGCTCACACCTTGCTAAACCAGAAGCGTGACGGGTGTGGTAAACAGGTGTATAAATCACCTATTAGCTTTCTCTGTCATAAAAGGTAACTTTAATGACTTTTATGGTACATTTATGCCTTTGTTGTTGTCCCTGGGAAGGGTGTATCTAACAATTTGCTCGATCATTCGTTTGCTTTCTCATGGTTTGGCTGGGCTGCAGAACCAGAGCAGGCAATTTTTAACCTAATGTTATTGGGGAAAGGCCAATATATCAGGGCTGGAGGGGGAGGGGGTCATTATAAATGTCATAGACTGGAACTCCTTGAATCCTTGCCAAAGGTTGAGCGAGGGGAGGGGTCATAAAGCAGTTTGTTTGGTTTGACTTTGGGAGGTGCAACTACTGAATTGCTACTGCTGAGGCAACAGAACCAGAGGGATGTCTCCATTCTTTTCATTAGCAGGGAGATCAGGGAGGGACATTTTACCGAAGTTCTTCAGGAGGAGAAGAAATTCTCCAGGAATTTCTCAGGGATGGAATCAACCATTTGTAACAGGCATAGCGTAGCTTCTTTCTTTCTTTTCTGTAAGTAGTGGTTTCTTTCTTTATTGCTGTGGTGCAATTATGTTGGGTCTCCCTGGCCACTATGTTGTCACCTCCAGAATGTCCCAGGATCAGCATTGTTCCAGACCATTGAATGCATGTGGAGAAATAGCAGCCCAAAAGCAAAACAAACCAATAGATGAAATATTACTAGAACATAGCTAAAATTATCCAACATGGTCTCTTTTTTTAGGAGCTGAGAAAAATGAAAAATCTGATCCCCTCCACTAAGTAGACAGGACCAGGAAATCACAGGAGGACTAAAATGGCTTTTATTGAGATTGGCTATAATAATAGAATCTAGCAAATCTGATTATGCTGTGTCTTCTCCTTCTTCTTATAGTTCAGTGAATTAGGGAGGTGTCTGTCTGAGTTGCTCCCAAAGGTTACCTGGACTTCTGGACTTTAAAAATGCTTTAGCCCTGTTGCCTAACAGAGCCTGCATATCTCTGTCAAGGTGA